GTTAGACAATATTCTAAACTACGCAAAGAAGTGCATCTTCAAATAAGTGGATCTTCAGCTCTTTCACACTATCAAAGAGGCTAATTAATAGCCTGATGGGAAATACAGCTGTTCTTTCATTAGGATACAAATCTGTAACTATAATAATAATAGTAACAGTTGACTAATTATTACTATTATTGCATAAATTATTTTATCAGTGTATACATGAATGGCGACACCCAGACAGAGTCATGCAGGCCTTTTAAAGGGAACTGGGGATTTTCAGGAGTGATGAGCTAATTTCTATTGTGACTCAGGGGCTAAGGAGCAGTTAGGTGAGTCTGATGTGGAATCACATTATTATGTAAAGGGAAGGAGTCTCAAGAGGACACTTGTGCTAAGGAATTGTACAGCAAACAGAGGTGGGGATTCTGACAGACAAGACAGAGGAAGAGGCAGAAGCAAAGGGGATGGGGAAAAATAAAATCACAAGAAAAACCAGAGGACAGTAGTATCTGAAGGCTGTTACTCAAGGAAGAAGGATGTCAAGAGGTCAAAGCCATTTGTGCAGGAGGAAGGTGAGGAAAGCATCAGGAGAGTAAAATCCCCCAGAAGGGAGGGGAGGAGCTAAGGCAAGAGGGACAGGGCTGAGGACCCAGGAGCAAGCAGGCTGGGTGGGGCACTCCTCAGAGGTATGCTGCAGCGGTGGGTAAGGAAGAAGAGGGAAGGGAAGTTTGTTTTGGATGGATCCCAGCAAGACCGTGCTGCGGAAAGGGATCAGTGCTTTTCAAAGAGAGGAGTGGAGCACGGCTATGCGAAGGAGATCACAGGCACTGGTCTGCTGAGACAGAGGGGCAAGGGGGAGCATTGCTGTCATTCGATAATCTTTGTTGAGAGACCGAGAACCATGCTGGCAGGGCACTGGTCTTAGCATGATGAAAGGAGGAGTCCCGTCTCTTGGAGTTTGTAGTCCAGTGAGAAAAAGGAAAGAATACTCGCGAATACTATGAAAATTAAAGGGAGAGATGAAGGCAGAGGTACATAGTATGAGACAGCTTCAGAAGACCAGTTCTGATCAGAGATGGGTGGCAAACACTGCAGACAAAGAAGATCTAGTCCAGAGGTAGCATAAAGTGCAAAGGCCTTTCTGTGGAAGTTGATTGAGTGCTCCTGAATCCCAGGGCTGTACTGATCAAGGGGAAAGAGCCGGAGGACTGTGAGGGAGAAGTGTGGAAAGCCTGTGGGCCTCTGGACCTCATGGCAAGTGAACAGGAAGCTGATGGAGTCGGGGAGTGGTGTGGCATGAGTTATATTCCCTCCTTTTTAATTAGTGTTTCCCTCACAGAGATATTACTGTAAAATGTCAGTAAGAACATAGAATAGATCTATTAGAGGTTGGGAAGGGTTGAAGAAGAAGGGATGGAGAGAGGATGAATAATGGATACCCAATCATAGATAAAATAAATGTTAGTGTTCTGAAGTTCAGTGTGATTACAATCCATAATGCCCTGTTATTTATGTGTAACTAGAGAACAGAAGTTCAGAGGCTCAAAATGCAATAAAAAGTTAGAGGTAGAAATGTTAACTGCCTCAGTTTTCTCAGAATAGTGTACACATGTATTGAAATGTTGCTCAAAGCTTTTAAGATGTACAAAGAAATGGAACTATTAATAGCCCTGATTTGACCATCACTCACACTGTATGCCTGTGTTAAATCATTATACTGTACCCTGTGAATTTGTACGGTTAAAATAAATGCTAAAAAGAATGATTTGTACAGAGGACAAAGCAAAAAAACCCAAAATGCCAAGACAGAAGTGGGCAGAATATTGAGGATGCTATTCCTCAGAGGTGGAGTTTGAGAGATGGCCAGATTATAGTTTTAAGCAAGTGTTGCAGGATTTGTGGAAGAGTAGCCATCAAGTTTTAGAAAAAGGGAGAATTCCAAGGTGGGCAAAAAATACTGACAGTATTTGGAAGAGGAAGGGAAGAAAGCAGGAAAGCTACAAATAATAGTGCCTTTGTTAAGTTCTTACTGTGTGTCAGCAGCTTGCAACACCCACTGCCAATACCACACCACTTAGTCCCTTCTACTACCTCAGCTTTTAGTGGAGGAGCTGACTTCAGAGATGGAGCACAGCAGGCACTGGACCACAAGTGATCTGGCTTCAGAGGATGTCTCTTAATTATTTGTACAATTCAACCTCCATTTTCTTCTATGAGAAGTCGAAGATTGTCCACAGTTGGGGACAGAGGGTTTTAGGGATGAGCATTTGAGATTGGAAGTTGAAAGAGACTGACTGCTTAACCGAAAAAAAAAAAAAAAAAGGACACTCAAAGATCTAAATAAAACAAGACAAGAGATGACATTGCTTTTTGTAGGGAAGCTGTTGGTGGGGTCTGGGGCCTCATCCCTTGTGGCCACTTGCTTGACATCTAGATTAAGCCAGCAACAGAATGGTAATCTTTTGTGCCCTCTCCAAAAGTGTTCCCTTTCACTGAGAGGTCCCTTCAGGTGCTACACGGTGTATACTGGACTGTGCCTCCCAGTGCTCTGAGGTAAACATCCCCGCGATGATCTTATTTAGCATAAACACTGAGCTGAAATCCAGAAGGCTGGTGAGATGGAAGCCGAGTCATGACGTATTTATTAAGCCAAGCACTGAGTTTGACACTCAGAGGAACACAAAATTAATTCAAGACACATTTCTTGCCCTTAAGGGGCTTACAACATTGGTTTAGCTGGGAGACCACCCAACAACCATTGGGATGGAAAAATGGAATCTCCACGTTGGGCTCAGTGTACTGCACAGAATGACAGGCTAGGAGATTAAACGGGCCTTGGTGCATGTGGAATGCACACCCGGCCTGCAGACCCTCAGCCTCTGTGCATTAACTCCACCAGCAGCCTGGCTGCAGAGTGAAGGTGGCTGTTTGTGCATAAACATTGTCATTTCACTGGGGCTGCTATTTCATCTTTGAACCTTGGCATCAAAGGAACACTGACCTTATTGCTGTAGCTTGCTTCTCTTTGAAGCACATGGCTTTGCATTGCAGATTAAAGTGAAGACATTCATCACAGAACGGATCTGGCCAACCGCTCCCCAAACGTGCCCGTAACAAAGCCTTGAAAGGCTCCACTCACAGTTGCAGTAGGCTGAAGAAGGCTTGGAGCCAGGCTCCTCTTTCCCAGACCCTGTGTGGCAGACCTTGTGTGATGTATCTGTTGGAGATTCGGGTAACTTTATTCTGAGCATATCTTTGTAGAGAAGGACAGCCTAAGGCAGGATTCTCACCTGTCTTATTCATTTGAGCAGGCATTGTTACAAATGAGGTCAATGTGCTCATTCCCGCCTTTGAATCTTTTAAAAGATGTGCCAGGCAGAGTTACCTGAAATGTGGTTGATGATTCTTTCAAGGGAACCACTCTTCTCTTTCAGTTATTTGAATAAAAAAGAAAGGAAAACCTAAAAGAGTGTATTATATATCCTCCAATGTCTATTTCCACACACAGCATTCTGCTTTCTTTTAATTCACAGGATGGCAAGAGACATGAGGTAAAGTATTCTTTTTGTGATGTTAAGAACACAAGGACCTGCTAAAGTGGAAGAAGGGGAATTTCATGATGTCCCATCCCTACACAAGGAACTGCAGACAACTAATGACTGTTGGAAGCAGGAAATTAGTTTCTCACAGTGATGCCCTTATTGGTTCCTGAAGAGTACATTACAAAACAAGCACACAAAATAATATCACTACTGGAATGAAAGAAATAAGCTTACCTCTGTTAAGTTAACAGTATCTTCAGGGTTTGTTATAGTAGCTAAACCTTGCTCACCCTGACTAATCTGAGACGTGGTAGGACATTCAGTCCTACTTCATTTCTTTCCTAAGACATTTTCTACAGAATGAGTGAGTTCTCACATACTTTTTGATCGCCTCAGGAATGAGCAATAGCAATAACAGCAGTTATATAAAATTTATGATTGTTTCCAGACACTCCTGAGTATTTTAAATGGATTAACTTACCTAACTATCATAAAGTCTCAATGAATAAATGTTATTACTCTCGTTTCACAGCTGGGAGAACTGAATCAAAGAGAAGTTAAGTCTCCTGCCCAGGGCTGGGTGAGCCATTTGCTTGCAGAATGGCACATGATGATAAATAGCGCTGCAGGAATCAAATCCTAGCAGCTACCTTCTGTTTGCATCATCAGGGCTCCTAGACTGCTTTCTCAGCCTTACAATATGTACGTCAAAAACACAAAGAAGCTGGGCCTTTAATCCCAGCACTCAGGGAGGCAGAGACAAGCAGATTGCTGTGAGTTTGAGGCCAGCCTGGTCTACAAGGCAAGTCGAGACCAAGATGGCCAAAGATACACAGAGAAACCTTGTCTCTCCCCACTTCCCCAAAACCCCACAAAGATAAAGAAAAGCTTTAAAAATCCTAAAATGTTCTCAGCTATCCACCAGTGACTTTATATGATAGAAAAAGGAACCATCTTGTGGGTCATTTTCCTGCTTTAGTGATAAAAAACCTCCATTTTACATTTTCTTCCTCGATATTCTGGCTAGTGGGAAGGCTCAATGAGAGGGCCGCAGTGGTGGCTTTCCCTTGCCCGACCTCTGACAATAAAACATACAAAATATTAAACTGATGCTCTCCACCTCAGGGAGCATGGGGACAGCGATCAAGCACACATACAAATCCACACTCACACACGTGCACACAAACACACATACACAGACATCGCTTATTTCATTTTAGCCACTGATAATACAAAAGTGATCCTAATTTGATGATCATATTAACATGTTGCTGAAGACTGTATGTATTTGTTTTAACAAAGGGTTTGTGGTGTGAACATGTGTGTGTGATGATAGTAGTTCTCGTATGCTCATCACTTGATTAAGAAATTGGGCTTCATAAGACAGAAACGCACACTTGAGAAGGTGGGCAATTGGTGGGCAGAAGCCTGAAAGTTCTCAGGCTTCTGTGTTCTCTGTAGACTGCTTACCTTCATTGGCCCTGTCTTCTCCCATGAGGATCTTCAATGACCTGATGACCTGTGCTGCTAGAACAGGGCTCATGGATGTGGCATAGAAAGCATTTTGTGAGTGAGTCCGCACATAATCCACAAGTTCCTAAAATAAAGGCAGAAGCAAAAATGGCAGCAAATAACTTTCAGAACTTGTCTTCTGTGCATTACAGCAAGACACTTGCTCAGGTCCTCAGAAGGCAGAAGTGGGTTGGCCAACCTTCAATGGGTAACTTTCAACTACTTATTTTGCTTCCCTCTTTTTTTCAGTCTTTCCTATTAAATCCTAGAAAGCGTACAAAAGTGTAAGGAAACTGCAGATTTTGAGCTGGACTATAAGCTGAAAACCACGCATGGGAAGGAAAAACGATTTCTGAAATATCTGCCTTGCACAAGAGCAAATGCTCAGGAATGGCCAATGATACAAGATGTGGCTCTTCTGTGCCATGAAAATGAACAGCACCTGCAGAAATGCATGGAATAGAAGGCAGGATACAGAGGAAAGAGAGTACTTGTAGGAGAAGCAGTCAGGATGCTCTGGTGAGGAGATAGGACCTATGAAGCTTTGAAACGTGAAGGCTGAGGGAGAAGAAGTGAAACCTTGGAAGGAGAGAAGATCTCAGAAAATGCCTGCCTCCATTCCTGGTCCCCACCAGCCTTGCACTCTTATTCTTCTGATCGTCCCTTCAAGCAGGCAATGAAGCTGGTGTGGCCCTGAGTCCTGCTTTCATAACAGTGATACGGTGCTGGTTCTCAGGCTTCCTCGAAAGGCACTGGGCACTTTTGTTTAGCCCTTCAAAAGGTTTCTTTCCTTTCTAATTCTAGGTTCTTATTTTCCTTTTATTTCATTCTCCTTTAAAAAGATTTAAAATTACTTATTTTAATTATTTTTCATTAATAATAAGTATTTACTTCTTGCCTTCTGTTTTTTTTTTTAATTCTTCTTCTCTTTTTTCTTCTCTCCCTTTTAGTTTTCCTTCCAGAAAATGTATTAAAGACCTTGTGATGGGCTATGTCCTAGATTCATGTGTGAGTCTATATTCTAGTCTGACATCTTTGACTTCTTTTTTTCTGAATCATATAAAAGAATTGGGAGCGCTTTCTCTTCTTTTGAAAAGTATAGATGACCATGGCAGGCCTTGATTCATCAGCTATGTGGTGTTTAAGGAAGTTCACTCTGGAGGTCTGGAGCCCCTCAAAGAGAGTTAGATCTTTGGTGATTTTTAAGAATTATATATACAGTATCTTTCTGAGTTTTTGTTCTGCCCTCTAGTAAAAGGCAACGGGATTTCATCCTCTGTTGAGATGACACCCTTTCCTGCAGGCTACTAGGGAGCCAACGAAGGGGCAGACAGTGAGCCAAATGTCTCGGACAATGGAGGCTTCTAGGTTCCTGTGTCTATGGAGGAGCATTTCAAAACATGATCTGGCCACAGTTGCTGGGTGGCTTTGGAGGAATGTGGAGGAGGTAAAAGCACACATACAGGCTTCCTAAAATGAGAATTAAGGGTGGAATGTGTGAGCACAGAATGGAGGAGTCAACTGGTACCAGAGAGAGAAGCTAGTGATTTGAGGACAAGGTGCTGAGGAGTTGTTCCCTTGAGAGGTAGTATGTCCCAGAATTGAAGCATAGGTTCTGGAACTCAACTGCTCAGTCAAATTCCTGGCTTTGTTCCTGACAGCTATGTGATCATGCACAAATAACAGTGAGACCTACCTGATAGTTATTATAAATATATATTCAATATCTATATTGAATGTCAGTGTGTGTATATACACACACATGAGAAAAGGTACATTATGGTACCTAATACAGATGGTGACTGTTGTTGAGTGGTCAACTGAAAGATATGAAGAACATTGTGTGATGGAAGCAGGGACTAAAGCATGAAGCTTCTTGGAGTCTCATTATTTCAGTTTCTTATTTGCAAAGAGAATGATCTAAGGTTAAATTACCTGAATATGGGTAGCTGCAACCCACCAAACCAGTGATCCTTAGCTTGTTTCTTCCTTCATCACAAGAGTGACAGTGTGTCTTGAAATACAATTACACTGGACTGAGTCCGTTTTGTCTCAGTGTGGGTAAAGGCTATTTTGATTGTGTGGTTGAGGAAGCGGGGTTCTGCAGTAGCTTCTGGAGAGTGTCAAGGAAAGCCCACCATTTCCTTCCACTCATCCTCTGATGGTACCGCAAGCTGTGAGTGAAGAGCTGGCTCTGGTCCTTTGCTAAGAAAGTCTGCATTGTGTCTTTCTTTGGAAATGGGTACAGGATAGAGGTCCTTTTAGGGGCAGGTTTCTACGTCTTTTTTTTTTTTTTTTTTTCAGTTCAAAACCTTGATTATTTTCTTTACCCATAGGCCTGGAGTTCAAGGGCAAGGGTGGGTTTTGGGGAGGGAATCAGACAGGAGGCTTTTAGAATAAACATCTTGCTACTCATTCCATGACCCCTATTTACTTCAAAGGGCTGTTAAGTGCAGGCAGGGCTGAGAATACCACAACAGAACTGCTTCTGTACGGGACCTTCCTTTGCTTGCTTTTCAGGCTGCTGGAGCTAACTATCACCTTCCAAAGCCAGCCTCTGTTTTCCACTTCCCTCCTCTAGAATTTCCACCCTGCAGCCTATCGGTCACAGGTCACAAGGGCTATCTCTGCTTCACTTGTGAACCGTCATCCCGTGGGGGCTGGGAGGAGCGGGTGGCTGATACAGGGATGATACAAGAGGAGGCAGGACCGGTGCTCAGAGGAGAGCAGAGGTTGGGCAGCATTGAGCACAGGTCCTCCCAGCAGTCAGAGCACTAAACATCGACAACTGAAACAACCCAACCCTATCAGCTCCCCATCAGCTTTCTCTGTAGACACTACAGGCCTGATGTGGGGAGTGACCTGATTACCTGAATTTTCACCTGGAGCGTCGGGGAGGGGAGGGTTGTTTACTGTCTGTCTGCAGAGCTCCAAACCCACAGAGCAAAAGAGACCAGCTCATAGGCTTATGAGAAACTGCTTCAGCTTGGAGTTAGTCCCCGATCAGCCAAAATGAATTTGTAGAACGCTATTTTAATAAGGGGGAAAACTGAGACCCCCACAATACCTCTGCTCTCCGTGAGACCTTAGTCCAAGCTATTTTTTCTCCCCTCGCTTGTTTCCAAGCAGTGTTTACTTGCATGTTTATCTGGTTGCTAATGTGTAAAGCTCTGCTCCGTGAAGACTCCTCGAACATTCAATGTGCACTTCTTAGGAATACTGTCTCTGCACACCAAGATTAGCAAGAGACCTCAGAGCCAGGTGTGGTTTCTTTCCCAATATTTTTCTAGAGTTTTGGAACCACTTATTGTTTTCAAGATCTGTGGCCTGCATCCTCTTGTTTAATCTCCACATGTTGAAATCTGTCTCAGTGTGGCTAATGAGTCCCCGCAGAACACGCGCTAATTTATGATGCCATCTGGTGGTTGCCTGAGATACTGCAGCATAACATGGGTTAGGAGGAGGAAGAGTGATGACCATCCTGTTTACTGTAATAGTGATAATTTTCACAATTGCTCAGTCTTAAAAGTCTTACACTTTTGAAAGCCTGCCCCTGCCTATAGAACAGAGAGCACTGACTGGATACCGGGAAACTGTCCTTCCTGCTGCCAGTCCTGGGCCATTGTTTAAAGTACGTATCAAATGAAGGCACCTAGGAGAAAAATGTGACATCCAACAAATTTGACATCGTTTCAACGATCTGCTTGCTTGAGTTTATTCAGGTGATTTTGGCTCAGGAAACAGAGTTACGCTTGGTTAAAAGTTTTGTGGCTCAGAGCTGCTGCTAACGTAATCAAAGCCCACAAAGCAAGGTAACCCAGAACAGACACTTCCTGAATTTGAGACCCTCTGATCCTGCTGATATGACAGTTCGGAAGGAAATAGTTAGCCCTCCACTAGACTTTGCTGAAGTCTTTGAGGGCCTGGTGTTCTCTGTGCTTCTAACATTACCCAGGTCATCCCCAGAGGAAGGAAGCAGGAGGTGGAAACACAATGCTCTGAGTATGGATGAAAGCAGCAGCTAGGGCGGGGCAAAGGCCATTGAAAACAGACTTTTAGGCATCTTTGTCTCATGGTAAGTGGCTAGGCAATCTGTTGTTTTAAACCACTGACTTTTAGTGACAGGGCTGCTTTCTGCTAACATACTCCAGTAAGTCTAACTGGCTGAGCAGTTAGACCCAACTTTTGTTCTTGTTGGGTAGGGCCTGCAAGCCTCAGACAACCTGTTAACAGCACCTCCATGCACTCATTTGGGGCCAACAATGTCCTGCTAGTTGGAGCTGCACTGCAGTCTCTTGGGGATAAATTTGGGCTTGTAGAGACAACTGCTATGATTTGGAAAAGCTACATGGAAAGGGGCAGGACGGAGGCGCCCTTGTGCCGTGGGTCTTGAGTGTTCAGGGTCTACGCTAACACAGGGAGTTATTTTCTTACCTTTTTTCCAGCTATGTAGCCTCCTGCAGATGCAAAGGTTTTGGTGAATGTCCCCATGTGTATGTCGATATCTTCGGAAGCCAGTCCAAAGAAGTCTCTGACACCTTGGCCCTTGGAGCCTATAGCACCAATACTGTGAGCTTCATCAACGTAGAGGTAAGCCTTGTATTTCTTCTTGAGAGCCACTATCTGGGGCAGGTTCAAAATGCTACCTTCCATGCTGGCACAGAAAGAAAAAACAGCTTGGTGAGTAGTGAATATCCTCCTGGCAAGCTCTGCTCACCTCCTTCCAGTGCTTCCTAGAAAGCCTGCCCTGTCAGTGTCAGGCTGCTCACGAGGGTCTGTCACTCACTTCTAACGCATATCTTATTCAGGAGAGACGTTTCAATCTTGTGAAGCTTCTCTGCAAATGTATGCTACTTGAACAAGATACTTTATGTTTGATGGATTGTGTTGTTAGCCTTCATGCTCAGCTCAAAGACGAACTTACCACATTGCCGCTCTAATTTGTTCGTAAAGCTGATTATTACAATTATATCAATGGTTTTGGCCTAGGTTTAATAAAAGTGCTCCACTCAGCCACTTTGATCTATCTGTTGTTGTTTGTTTGGCCAGGTCTGCCAGATCTAAATTTAGCATTTGAACTGCTAATGATTAGACTGGAGAATTAAGGACAGAACTTCAGACAGCATAGTATTAATTCCATCACAATAGAATATCATTTAGCAACCCTGTTCAGCAGGCATCACAAATCAGCCTTCTGGGAGGTTCCTGGTGGCACCCTTTCTTCCTGTTTCTTCAGAGTGATGGAACAGAAGTTGGTTAAGTCTTAAAATCACTGATAGGCTAAAGGCACAGGTGTCTGGGTTCTCCCACAGAGGCTCCAGAGGTTCCCAGGGGCGAAGGGGGAGGATGATGCTTTATACGAACTTGTAGCTTGAGCGCATACCAGTATCTGGGAGCAACACTTTCTTTTGTAGCGATAAACAACATTTATTACTACTAACATAATCTTTTGCTTTAGACCTATTTTATTATTTATTTTAGTTTTCCAAGTTTTAAACTAAAGTTAGAAAGAAAACTTTTGAATTGACAAAATTTCTTGTAATAAGAGCTTTAGATTTGTAGAATAACCGAGCAAAAGGTCCAGAGGGCTCTGGTATCTGCAGTCTTGCCAAGTTTCTGCTGACATTAATATTGCCTCCTAGTCATGGGGCATTTCTGAGAATTTAGTGAGCCAGTTTTGATGCAGTAACTAAAATTCACTGGTTAAGGTTTGCTCTTTGAGTTGTACGTTCTATGTGTTTCCCCAGAGGATAGGAGTGGCTTCACAGACCAGCATGTTATGCTTGCCCATGTCATGCCAATCTCTGCCATCCCAATTTTAGTGTGTGTACTCATCAAGAGAGCGTCTAAGTGTTTTGTTTTCCATGGTATTGAAAATCATAAAAATGTCCTTAGAGAGGGGTAAATATAAAGCTAGCTAGAAAGCAAATTAAATTTTAGATTTACACCGGCTCTGCTTGGCCCTCAGAACACGGTAAGCTGTCTGCACTGCTCAGTTTGGACTGTACAGACAGGCTGGTTCTATGAAAACAGACTCACATGTTGACAGCACAATACGGCCTGTCAAACAGTACAAGAAACCTTTCGATTTAGTTAAAGACTAATCATTTGAAGAGCATTGAACTTCTCTACCCACTTTCAAGTATTGGATTGTATATAATGCATTTAAAAAATAAGCTTAAGTGTTAGGTTGAGTCAGTGAAAACAGTGCATTGGCTCTCACAGCTACCCAGACCAAGGGAGCTGAGTTTAACCACCAATGGATCTAGCGTGTGGCTATTTCACAAAGTCTTTTTGGATGGCCAAGGTCTGATATTAATGGAATGCCAATTAATACATTTCTTACTCGTGTCTGTGAGTTATTTCCAGCACTCCTTTAAGTTGCTTGCTTATTAAAATTGTCCTCACTGGAGAGAGGGCAGTATGGCCTATCTTAGGCTTAGATTTCTACATGGGGTCTTGGCCAGCCAATATGATGTCTTTCGTTATCCTAGACTTCCATCTTCTGTGTTATAACACAGTGATGGGGCCTTCCCTCCAGAATCTTTAAAGGGGCTGTCAGTCATCACGCTTGTCAACTGCTGGGCCACCCCACATTCTCAGGGAGTTTGGAAGAAGAGAGTTTCCTGAGTCCTGAGGAAATGGGAGCCTTTAATGATGTCGTATGTTGAATCTTCTGAGATGAGGCATGTGGGTGTCATTGCAAGGGTCAAACATGATGAATGGCTTCAAACCCTCAGAATCTTAAACTTTCTTCTTGTCATTAAAATACTCTAAGTTGTTAACACAAATATGCTAGAAACTTGACATGATATAGCCATTTTTTTTTTTTTCCTGGAACTGGATTTGGCAGGAGGCAAAGTTAAGGCTGAACAGTATGTGTAGACAGTCTCCACAGCTAGTTACCCACCTTTTGATGGGAACTGCCCACCTAGTTTGTATTTCTTCTTCTAAGATTAATGTTCTACAGTACTGTTGATGTTTTGGAGTTCATTCCAGGCACACACAGAGTCCTAAAGAGAACTCAGCTTCTGTATAGTTGTGTTCATCCACATTGTTTTCTTTTCCCCCCAGTATTATTGAATTTACATTGAACCTGGGTAATGAGTCTGGACACAAGTACAAAATGGCTATTTGTGTTATCACCACTAGTTTCTGCCAATCAAAAGCAAAAGCAATAATGAAAAATACACAGCATGCTGTTTTTTTTCCTGGATGAAAGGTTTTGCTTTTCTTTTGACTTTAATACCAGTAAAAGAAAGAAAATACAGTTATAAATTAAGATAATATCATCAGTTACTTTGAGGCTCTGTCTAGGGACCTGAATTATTCTTTAACACACAAGTCAGTGAATTACTTTTTTTATATCTTTTAAAATCTTCCTCTTATCACCCTGTCCTCCCCATGAAAACAAAAAATTAAAGCACAGCTCAGACAACTTGTATGGTGGAAAACTCTTCATGTCAGGCCCAAGGTTTAAAGCCAAGAGAAAGAAGAAAAGAGGGGAGAGGGATAGACACAGAGTTGTTGAGAAGAAAAGGGAAAAAGAAATGGTGATGCAAAGGAGAGGAAAGGGAAGAGAAGGGAGAGATGGAGATAGAGAGGTAACAGTGAGAAAGAGAAAGGAGTTCAGATAAATTTATCTTATTCTTTGTCTTTACACGTTGAAACCATAGAGAAAGGAAGAAGTTTACCGCCGACTTTATTCTTAAGTTTTCAGTTTGTGGGAGAAAGGCTTGTCATTTCTTCTTAGACTCAAGGCCATCTGGTAATTCATCGTATACCTGTATGTGTGATCTGGGAAGGGCTGGCGAATTCTTTTGATTTTGAAAGTTTGGGCTCCAACTATGCCAGTTGGTGTCCCAAGTTATCTGGGACACCTTTACCAGCAATATGTTTTTGAATCATTTCGGGATTTTTTTCACCCATTATGAATTGAAAAGGAACCTATTCTCCTGAGATACTACAAAAATAATACAGTCAAACCCAAATGTTTGAATTAAAGTGATTTAACAACGTTGCCTCTTGCCAAATTCAGTTCTAGAAAAAAATGAATGGCTGTTTCCGTCATGTCAGGTTTCTAGCATGTTTGTCCTGCCAGCTTACAGCATTTTAAAGACAAGATAGAAGTCTAGGGGCTGAAAAAACAAAGTTGGGTAGGGAAAAGGACTTTAGCTGAGTACGAGACAGCCACTTTGATGAAATAAGAGGAGGGACAGGGCTCTGAGAAAAACATGGAGGTCAGTCTTGGCAGGCCTTTGCCAGTCAGTTCCAATAATAGGAGGTTCCTGTGTTGTCCTATTAACCTCAGCTGTATGGCCACTCAGGCTTCTAAACATGATCTTGCCTCTAGTGTATCTAACTGTAATAGAATGAATTATGGGTAAGGATGTTTTCTAAGAAAGTCTCCACTATTCTTGGGAGGAGACCATCCCAGACTGCCTCTTGCCTTTTGCTTTCTCACTGGCTGACATAAACCTTGCTTATTTGCTTGCACTATCTGTATCTGGTGAGAATTCATCTCCTTTGGGAAGATCCCAGACTGGTTCTTCTGTTAGGATTAGAGGGATATTCTCCAACCCACAGCAATACATGTTTAACACAAATTAGGACATCAAATTGGAACACTTAAATAATATTTGACTTTTAGATGCTAAATCAAGGATTTATGGAGCTTTAGACTTAAATTTTCAACCCCCTTAATTTACAGATGGAGAATTTGGGGCCTAGTCAGAGTGACTTTGGGGCCTTCAGTGCTTACGAATTGCTCATAGGTTGCCTGCCCCAGCGGCATGCAACCTTTCTTCTACCAGGCCCATCTCGTTTGTAACCCCAACTCTGCTTGATGTTATTAATCTGTCCCAAGGGCAATTTATCTAGGCCTCCAAGCCGCTGTTTCTTCATCTTTAGAGTGCTCTCAGCAGGCTTGTACAACACCGTACACAGGAAATGTTTAGCCACACGGACAGCACACACTTCTCACGAATCGAGGTGGACCTGGGAACTATTGAGGTCACATTCCCAACCCTGACTCTTTATGGAAAGCAATTTCATTTTCTAGTGATAGTTCTTAATTAGCATGCTCATGCGAAGGCTAACCCACCATAATTTTGCTCTCAAATTCAAGTTAGACTAGTCTTAGTTTACAAAGGAAGAACCTTGAGGCGGCCTGTGGGATAAGGGTTGCTAGGTGGCATAGTTATTATACATAGAAGATAAAAGGTTGCTTTCTGTGGCATCAGTTCACAGACATGAAATCTTTGCTCTCTGTACATCCTAGATTTATCTACAAGAAACCGAAGCAAAGATAGGTGCCCGCAAGCTTCCCATTTTTGCATACACAATCTGATCTTTCCATCAAGGGTTTAAACTGTAATCCACCTTTCTTGGCTCTCTCATGTGTTTGGCCACTAGGGCACAACATCAGTTTTGGGCCACTCTCTTAAAACTGGCAACTTCTGAGTTTTATGTCCTGGAAGCCAGGGCTATGTTGTAAGGAATCATTGAATAAAAGCAGATTCATGTGAATGAGAAAAAGGCACCCCAGTCACTCCCCAAAAGGCAGTGCTAAATGTGTGAATGAGCTAGTTTTGGATATTCCATCCCTACTTGAATTCTTGCCTTACTGCAGCCATGTGAGTGGGTGGGTAACGGAATACAGCAGACCTAACTCACAGGACCAGAGAAGATAAGAAATGACCCCACGAGTCTTTATTCTTTACAGTGGCTGGTTTCACAGCATTAGTTGACTGAGGGATCGCTGTTGCTAAACTGTGGTTTAGTACCTCATTGGCTTGGGGCTAGAACTCCACACCTGCACACCTTCTTTCTCTGACCTGACGGGATGGGATGAAGCCTAGCCTAGCCCCCACCAAGTCCTGCCGCTGGAGCGGTTTCTGATGGGAATGTTTGTCAGGAAAACACCGACGCACTTCTAATTCCAGCCATGATCTAAGTACTTAAAAAATGCAACTCTCCTTCAGTGGAGCTAAGTTGTCTGTTTGAAGATGTGCTCCTTTGACTCTGGTTAAAGGAGACCAGTCTGCCTTCCCGCAGCCAATTCCTCATATCCTGGGTCCAAACCTGAACGACAGTTTTTTAGATAAGGGCTGCTTGAACCTCAGGCTGGCAGCTGCTACAAACCACACAGGGAGAAAGCTTTCCTCTTCCCTCAGAAGGCTGTGACGCACAGGCTCAGGATGAGATTACTTCCTAAAAGTATCAAGTGTCGGGCCAGTGGCTGGCTAGCTGCCCCTGAACAGGGCTTTCTCGGCTGCACCACTGTTGCTGTTTTGAACTACAGAATTCTTCTGAATACCTCATGGTTTGCGGATGTTCAAGCTCATTCCCAGCCTCTCCCCACTAGATGTCAATAGTATTTTATTTCACATGTGTCCATAAAACCTTCCAGATGCTCCCTGGTTGGGGAGGGGAGGAAAATCGCCCCAGCTTTGGAGAGACCACTCTTTTAGAGACTTTGTGAGCACTGCACGCTCCTGCTGAGCTTCGGAGGTAACTGTGTGGGCGCGGAGGGCAGTCCACTGTGAACTGCAACCGCATAGCACTGCTCAGGAAGTACAGAACTCGGAGCATTTCAAGTCAAAGATGGCTCCCGTCTTTCTATTACCTTCAGCCTGGGGGAGTTCACTCTTCCGCAACCCGGAAGCATAGGAATGTTTTTCTTTTGTTACTCAGGACAGTGTTTACTTATGATTGATAAAGATAGTGTCTTCATAAACTTACCTGTTTTTAGTTGAAGAGGCTTCAGGGTGGAAAACAATCAACTGTCAATGTAGCAAAGTTGTTTGCTCTAGAGAGAGGGTTCACAATGCTCTTGCTGTCTCCTGTCTCTCCATTGGGGGATCCCCAGCCCTCACTTTCTCCTTTCTGTTTCGCCTCTATAAGCAGCTCATAGGGAAAATAGTCCCATGTTCCCTTGCTGTAAAGACTGTGTTGGAACTGAGTTAAGGGATTTCTGAGATAACATTTCCTTGGCTTACAGAAAAGAATGTAGACAGAAGTGCTTGGATGCAATTTCCATTTGTGCCACATAATTGGTTTAGATGGAGAATGAAGCAAATTCAATCACAGCCAGCAATATAGAAGCGCTGCTCTGGGTGACTCAGTGGGTATTTGGCCTGCTCAGTGTGAAGAGGGCAGGAAAAGGGCCCTGAAAATGTCGTCAAATGTTAAGACAGCACATTCCCATCCCAGCTCTGGAGGAAGGATCACCCTGGAGGAGAGTCCCGTGTTCTGATGCCAGTCATTAACCTAACTGGTTAAGGATTGAAGTTGGCGTGTGTGTTCACTGTCCACAGAGTGGGGTTGGGGCCACCCATGGAAACACCTGTGACAGACATGTCTTGAGACATCCTCATGTTGAAAAGCCCCGGCACAAATCTTTGACATGCTGGGCACTGGAAAGAAGCAGCACAGATCAGCAATGAGGACATTTCCAAAGAAGGCTTCACCAGCATGTCAGCCCTAAAGTGTTCAAGAAAGAGCACGGAGGTGTAGAAGACAAGACCCTAGACCTAGCCACTCATATCAGTAGCTCTAGCTGATGTTCCTCCATGACATTCATAAGCAACTCCTTTCTTTAGCCAGAAATGTCATCTCTTCTTATCGGGCAGTGTGAGCCACAGAGCGTCAAATACCTTCATCTGTTTACATACCTGTAGATGCCCTCCACCAAGATGAGAATCTTTTTCCAAGCTCTGCCTGTGCGAGGCTGGCCTTTGATGAGAGCTTCTCTCAGGTGATTCTCTAAGCTCTGTACATCTTTAAGGAATGTGAAAAAGAGAAACTGAGTTACAAGAGGGCTTTTTGTTTGCTTCCCTCCTTTTGTTTCTTGAGAGGGTGTCAGAATTACTTGCTCATTCATTTTTAGACTCATACTCAGACCTGGACTTTGAGAAGGTAAAGTTGGAATCAGAACACCTATGAGATATAGAGGTTCATTTTCTATTGAAACTTCACTCTGGTAGGATGAATAGTTGTGCTTTTACAAGCAGGTGGAGTCACTTTAAAGCTTTGGCAAGCTTTGCTTTGCCTGCCTGAGAGAACTTGGAAGTCTGTACTGCAAAGTCTCAGGGTTTGTGTGGAGTACCTTCACAGTGCTAGAGACCTCATTATCCTGGGGGGCTTGGATTTTGAATTGTCAGATGTTTCAGCACGGTTCAGGTTGTGAAATAATTGGCAGTCCTGTGTGAACTTTTTGGGAGCTTTGGACATACTAGTAGTTGACAATTAGCAAGCCCAGATTTTGTGCCTGATACCCTTCTAACTCCATTCTTTGTCGGAGATCGTTTAACTCTCACAAGACTCCCGTGGAGAAGGCAATACACAGTTCTCAGTTTAGTGGGCCAAGCACCTGAGGTGCAGAGGATTTGGTAAGACAGTGGTTTCTCCACCTTTTCAATCTGTGACCCTTTAACATGGCTCATCATGTTGCAGAGACTCTTCCCCAACCATAAAAGCATTTTTGTTGGGATTTCATAGCTGTAATTTTGTTACTGTTATGAATTCTAATATAAATATCTGATGTGCAGGATATTGGATGTGTGACCTCGGTGAAAAATGATCGTTTGACTCCAAAGGGGTCACAAGCCACAGGTGGGAACAGCTGGCCTAAGGCCTGTGATTGTAAAAAGCCGAGTTGGACTTCGAGCCTGTACTATGTACCATGCTTGTACCCACAGCCTTTTACTGCCTTTGGTGAGAGACCTTGTTCCATTTTCTCCAATTCCAAAATGATACAGAGCAGGAAGAAAGGTTAAAGTCTGATAGAACATCCTTGTTCACTTTTAATGAAAAATCAAAAATCGTGAAAGTAGAGGTATGTCCCTCGTCTTCAGTAGGAGGAAGATGGCTGGGCGTGAGCCTAGAGGCCATTTGGAAGGCTCGAGGAATCCACTCCGCTATCCGGTGTTTTTATGGGTTACTTAAACTTTACCTTTTTAAGACAGCATGAGTGAAGGGTTGTAGAGACTAATGTGCACGCTTATTTAGATTCATGTATTTGTACTATGCATTTTGGCTGAAGAAAAATCACTGGCCCTCGGGCAGGCTCAGGGGAAGAAGAGAGACAAGTCAGGAAGTTATCTGAGCTCAACCACGGTGCTGAATGGCAGCTACGTGCTGGCTGGTGTGTGCTCCCGAGCTTTTAAGCCTTCTTGTTATGATAATAAACTAATAAAGTCACGGAAAGCCCTTCCTGAGCTAGTCCCTAAACACTTCCCTGAGACAGCTTCTCTGTGTCCCCACCCCCCCTGCCTCCTGCTCTCCTGCACAGTTTTTGCCTTTGAAGGGCATCCACTCACCACCCAAGCCCCCGTGTCTCAGTCCAAGCACACAGTTATTGGTTCTGCATCCGTTTTGGATGATTGACTCTTACTTACTTTTATGAATAAAGAACATGGACCATGAGGAGAGGAGGATCTAGGTAAGAGCTACTAGAGAGGACAGTTGCATTTTGTCTTAGCAAACTGTCCTTTTTGCTGTTTTCAGTCTCCTCTGCTCTGAATGTTTTCAGCTGATGCTACATCCTGCACCACTAGATGGCAGCCAAGGGGACAAACAAAACAAAACAAAACAAAACAAAACAAAAAACAAAACAACACCCCCCCCCCGCAACTTTCCTGTTTCAAAGTCTCAGAGCTCATAAATATCTGTATTGCTAGCTTGTTTTCTTTTCTTTTTAAATTTAAATTTATTTTTTATAATTCATTCCCTTTACACACTGATTGTAGCCCGCTCCCTCATCTCCTCTGGGTCCCAGCTCCCTCCCTCCCCCTTCTCCCTAGTCCTCAGAAAGGGGGAGCCCTCCTCCCCTACCATTTGACCCCAGCTTCTATCCTTTCAGCTCAGCTTCCTTTTGCCAACACAGGGCATTCTTTGCCCTTCACAAAGAGCTTTCTTGTTTGTTTGCAGAACCATACTTGGTCTGGAGAGTAGCTTTAAAGTAATCACAAAAGGAATTGGTGTTTATGTATCGTTTTCTGGGTCCCTCATCCCTCAGGTAATACTGATAGCCACAGTTTTTCTGTAGGAGTGAGGTCTTGGACACGGCACCCTTCCCGGGCTACCTTTTCTCCTCGTCTCTGCTCCCCTCTCATCCTCTGTGCTTCTCTGGCTTACTTTATAAAAAAGAGAGGTTTAAATCCTTATCTCAGGGTCTACTGGGAAGAGAAAAGAACAAGACAAAGCATCACTTAGGTTTATAATTCAATAACTCTGGGGTCAGTTTTCAGTCATATCGGGATGATACAGAGAACTGTGTATTATGGCTGTGGCAAAGTTGAGTGAACTAATTATTTCAAGGGTGGGATAGGTCTGGAACCAGTGATTCTGAATGTTAGTAGTGACTTATTTCTACATTTTTTTCCTATCCAGGAACTTCTAGCCTGTAGCTATAAAACTTCTGGGTCCCAGCTTTGAACTGAACATTGCTAAAGTTTTACTTCTTAGTCCTTTGCTGTTCCTTTCCTTTTCCTTTTCCTTTGTTTCTTTCCCTTCAGAACTTCCGTTCTGCTTGGTGTTCTTAGATCTTCAAGTGACTGTTGAAGACAGGGAGGGAAGTGAGGAGATTGTAATCCACCATATAAAGAAACCTAAAAAAAAACCCTCATATGATCATCTCATCGAATGCTGAAAAAGCCTTTGACAAAATCCAAAACCCTTTTATGATAAAAGTCTTGGAGAGATCATGGAGACAAGGTGCATACTACACATAACAAAGGCAATAATACAGCTGATGGTCAACGTCAAATTCAATGGAAACTTAAAGCAATTCCACTAAAATCTGGGACAAGATGAGGCTTTCTACTCTTCGTATCTCTTCAACACAGTACTTGAAGTTATGGCTACAGCAATAAGAAAACTAGAGAAGACCAAGGGGATACGAATTGGAAAGGAAGGAGTTCAAGTATCACTGTTTACAGATGATGTGATAGTATACCTGAGTGACCCCAAAAATTCTACCAGGAAACTCCTACAGCTGATGAACACCTTCAGCAAAGTGGCTGGATGCAAAATTAGCTAAAAAAAAAAAAATCAGTAGCACTCCGTATACAAAAGACAAAAGGGCTGAGAAAGAAATTAGGGAAATAACACCTTTCACAATAGCCACAAATAATATGAAATATCATATTGTAATTCTAACCAAGTAAGTGAAAGTCCTGTATGACAAGAACTTCAAGTTACTGAAGAGAGGATTAAAGAAGATATCAGAAGATGGAAAGATCACCTATGCTCACGGATAGGAAAGAATAACATAGTAAAAATGGTCATCTTACCAAAAGCAATCTACAAGCTCAATATAATTCCCATAAAAATTCCAACACAATTCTTTACAGACCTTGAAAGAAAGAAAAATTCAACTTCTTACAGAAAATAAACAAAAACAGAATATCTTAAATAACCCTGAACAATAAAAACAAAAACAAAAAACCAAAAAATCTTCTAGAGGTATCACTATCCCTAATTTCAATTTGTTCTACAGAACAACAGTAATAAAAATGTATGGTATTGGCATAAAAGCTGACAAGTTGATCAATGGAATCAAATTGAAGATCAAGAAATAAACTCACACATTTATGGACACTTGATTTTTGACAAAGAAGCCAGAACCATACAATAGAAAAAAGAAATCATCTTCAACAAATGTTGCTGGTTTAACTGGATGTCTACAAGTAGAAAAATGCAAATAGACTCGTATTTATCACCCTGCACAAAACTCAAGTCAAAGTGGATCAAAGACCTCAACATAAAACCAGATATATTGAACCTGTTAGATGATAAAGTGGTGAATAGCCTTGACCACATTGGCACAGAAGACAAAAATTTTGAACAGAACACAAACAGCTCAGGCACTAAGATCAACAATTAATAAATGGGACCTCATGAAACTGAAAAGCTTCTGTAAGGCAAAGGACACCATCAAAAGACAAAAACAGCAGCCTAGAGAAATGGGAAAAGATCTTCACCAACCCTATATCCAAAAGGGGCTGATAGTCAAAGTATGTAAAGAACTCAAAAAACTATACATCAACAAAACCAAATAACCCAATTGAAAAATGGGGTGCAGATATAAACAGAGAATTCTCAATAGAGGAATCTCAAATGGCTGAGAAATGGTCAACATCTAGGAGAATCCATCTTGAATCTGCCAGAATGGCTGTGTAGCCCACTGTAGCTCAGTATCCAAGTGGGAACCCTAGTAAGGGGAACCCTATTTCTGACATGAACTCAATGGCACCTCCCCACCCCCTGAGGGAGGAGCAATCCTACTAAGCCACAGAGGAGGACTTTGCAGCCAGTCCTGAAGATACCTGATAAACCAGGGTCAGATGAAAGGGGAGGAGGTCCTCCCCTATCAGTGGACTTGGAAAGGGTCAGGGAGGAGATGAAGGAGGAGGGTGGGATTGGGAGGGAATGAGAGAGCGGGATACAGCTGGGACACAAAGTTAATAAACTGTAACTAATATTAAAAAATAAATAAATAAGAATAAAAAAATAAATACTGTAGTCATCATAAAAAACAAACAAACTCAAGTGATAGTACATGCTGATGAGGCTGAGGAGAAAGGAGAATACTCCTCCATTGGTGTTAAGAGTGTTGTACAACCACTTTGGAAATAAGTTTGGTGGTTTCTTAGAAAATCAGAAATAGTTCTACCGCAAGACTCAGCTATACCACTCCTGGGCATATACCCAAAAGATGATCCAGCATACCACAAGGAGTTTGAGACCCATGCCAGAAAAGACTTCCAATGGAGGGA